ATTATAGTGAGGAGAATGAGGGTTACCGCTGTTTCCAGCCCGACCCGGGCATTGGTACTGCTGCGCTAGGTGCTTGTGAGGCTGCTGCTCTAGGTGCCAGTGCGTCTGCGCTCTCAGGTACTGGTGAGAGTGCGCTCTCAGGTACTGAGTCGTCCTTGTCCTCCCTCACTTTCACACTTGACTCCGGAGCTTCTCGCTCCTTCTTTCGAGACCGCACTACCCTTTCGCCGCTCGACAGGCCGGTTGCGGTCTCCCTTGCTGATCCCTCTGGGGGTCCTGTCCTGTCTCACTTCTCCACTGTCCTCCCGTGTCCGGCTGCCCCTTCGGGCACCCTGTCGGGTCTGTACCTTCCCTCGTTCTCTACGAACTTGGTGAGTGGAGCAGACCTGCAGGATGGGGGTGTTCACCAGTTCACTCCTGCGCGTCAGCGGGTGACCCACTGCACGGAGGCTCGCACAGGCCGACACCTGGCCACGTTCTCGCGTCGGCCGGGGTCGAGTCTCTACACCCTGACCGTTGAGTCTCCTCCTGTCCCTGCGTCTGGTCAGGTGGCTGCGTCGGGTCAGGTACTTGCTGCTGCGTCCCGGTCAGGTCCTGAGTCTGCCCCCTGTTCTTGTCGCCTCCTGTCTCACGAGACTCTCCTGTGGCACCACCGTCTTGGCCACCCCTCCTTGCCCCGTCTTCGGAGCATGGCTTCCCGTGTCCTTGTCTCTGGTCTTCCCCAGTCTCTCCCTCCTCTCCCCTCCGGGCCAGGACCTTCCTGTGTCCCCTGTGTCGAGGGTCGCCTCCGGGCTACTCCTCACTCCTCCCACTTCCCCCCGACAGAGGCTCCCCTGCAGACGCTTCACATGGATGTGTGGGGCCCTGCCCCCGTCCGTGGGCAGGGTTACGAGCGATACTTCCTGTTGGTGGTTGACGACTACTCGCGTTACACCACAGTCCTCCCCTTGCGCAGCAAGGGTGAGGTCACTGAGGTGCTGATCGACTGGATCCGCGAGGCTCGTCTCCAGCTCAGGAAGAGCTTCGGCTCGGACTTTCCTGTTCTGCGTCTGCACTCTGACAGAGGCGGAGAGTTCTCTTCTCGCCTTCTGCGAGACTACTGTCGTGCACGGGGGATCTGCCAGACCTTCACGCTTCCGGACTCACCACAGCAAAATGGGATTGCTGAGCGCCGCATTGGCATGGTCATGGATGTCGCTCGTACGTCCATGATGCATGCGGCTGCCCCCCATTTTCTGTGGCCGTTTGCGGTGAGGTACGCGGCGCATCAGCTCAACCTTCACCCCCGGGTCTCTCGGCCTGCGATGTCCCCAGCCTTGCTGTGGACGGGGAAGGTTGGCGATGCGTCTGTGTTCCGTGTCTGGGGATCTCGGGCGTTTGTACGCGACTTGTCTGCGGACAAGCTGTCCCCCCGTGCTGCTCCCTGTGTCTTCCTTGGCTTCCCCACTGACGCCCCAGGGTGGCAGTTTTACCACCCCTCCTCTCGTCGTGTTCTGTCCTCCCAGGACGTCACGTTCGACGAGTCAGTCCCCTTCTACCGTCTCTTCCCCTACCGCACTCCTTCCCTCCCCCATCCCCCGGACTTCCTTGTGCCGGTTCCCCCCCCGGTAGACCCCCTCCCCCCTCAGGTTCCTGCCCCCTCAGGTGTGTCCCAGGTAGACGCCGTTGACCCGGTCGAGGTTACTGGTGACTCTGGTGCTGCTGCGGGTGCTGAGCCTGGGGGTGCTGACTCTGGGGGTACTGTGCGCGGGGGTGCTGGGCCTGGGGGTGCTACTGCGGTGGGGGCGGAGCCTCGGGGTGCTGAGCCGGGGGGTGCTGTGACTGGAGGTGCTGAGTCTGGGGGTGCTGAGTCGGGAGCTGCTGAGCCTGGGGGTACTGAGCTGGGAGCTGCTGAGCCTGGGGGTGCTGCGCCTAGAGCTGCTGAGCCTGGGGTTTCTCCTGCTGCTGCGTCTCGCCGGGAGCCCCTCTCTCCACCGGAGCTGCGCGAGTGGTTCGCTCGCCGCTGGAGGCGTGCTGCTGAGTCTAGAGGTGCCGCTGGAGCTGGAGCTGGAGCTTCTTCGACCGTCGAGGGTGCGGGTGCTGTCGGTCCCGGAGCTGCTGGACCTGCGGGTCCTCCTGGAGCTGGAGCTGCTGAGGGCGTTCGTGCTGAGCCTGCTGCTGTTGGTCCTGCCGCTGGAGGTGTGGGTGGCGCTGGTGCTGTCGCTGAGGGTGCTGGTGCTGTCCCTGTTGAGTCTGGAGCTGCCGCGCGGCCTCGGCCGTACTTCGTTCCGCTCCTGCAGCAGGTTCTTGGTCTTTCTCCTCCAGTAGAGGGTCCACCGCCTGTCCAGTCGCAGTCCCTACTGGAGCCTTCCTCTCCACTGCCTGCTTCCTCTTCTTACGCTGGTCCTACCGGAGGTCTTGCTGAGCGTCGTGAGCCTGCGTCTCGTCCCGCGTCGCCTGTTCGTGCTGCTCGCGCTAGTGGTCGCAGTTCGCGTCAGCGTCCTCCTCCTGTCCCTGGCACGCACAGGATGTCTCTGCGTCCGTCCACTGCTCCTCTGCGTGCCCCTTTGCCTTCTCCTCCTGAGTCCTCTCTTCCTGCGCTTGCCGACCCTGAGTCGGACTCTCTTCGCGCTGCGAGTCCTACTGTCACGCGTCTGCTTGCTACTGTCGTCACTGACCCCTCTTTTGAGTCCACTGCTGCGTCTGCTCTGGTCGCTGAGCTCGTTGACTTTGCTACTCGCTGTCGTCTTGACTACGCTGCTAGTCTTGTTGCTGAGTCTGTGTCTGTCTGTCGTCCGTCCGTCGGGGGTGAGTGTGCTCTTGGCACGGACGTCCTAGAGGACAGGCAGGAGGAGTTACAGTGTCTAGCGGCTGCTTCACCTCATCTCGCGTCTGTACTGCTTGCCCCTGAGGGAGACCCGGATGCACTAGACATCCCGACTCCGCGTTCTTACGCGGAGGCCGTAGAGGGTCCCTACTCCTCTCAGTGGCAGGCAGCTATGGATGCAGAGATGGCTTCCTGGAAGTCCACAGGCACCTACGTTGACGCAGTTCCCCCTCCTGGGGCGAACATCGTCAGTGGCATGTGGATCTTCAGGGTGAAGCGGCCGCCGGGCTCTCCACCTGTCTTCAAGGCACGGTACGTTGCTCGTGGCTTCAGTCAGCGGCAGGGAGTTGACTACTTTCAGACCTTCTCTCCCACCCCGAAGATGACCACTCTTCGGGTGCTGCTGCACATAGCCGCTCAGCGCGACTACGAGCTTCACTCTCTCGACTTCAGCACTGCGTTCCTGCAGGGTAGCCTGCACGAGGAGATCTGGCTGCGCCGTCCGCCTGGCTTCACTGGGACTTTCCCTCCTGGCACCCAGTGGAGCCTTCGACGGCCAGTCTACGGTCTCCGCCAGGCACCGCGTGAGTGGCACGACACACTGAGGACTACGCTTGCGGCTCTTGGGTTTGCTCCTTCTACTGCTGACCCGTCACTGTTTCTTCGCACCGACGCTTCCCTGCCGCCGTTCTACATCCTCGTGTACGTCGACGACTTGGTCTTTGCCACAGCGGACACTGCTGGACTCGCCTACGTGAAGTCCGAGCTGCTGAAGAGACACACGTGCACAGACCTGGGTGAACTGCGCAGCTACCTTGGCTTGCAGATCACTCGGGACAGAGCACGCCGCACCATCACCTTGACTCAGTCACACATGGTGCAGCAGGTCCTTCAGCGCTTCGGCTTCACGTACTCCTCGCCTCAGGCCACTCCTCTGCCTACTCGCCACTCACTCTCAGCTCTGCCTTCGGATGAGTCCGTAGAGTCGAGTGGTCCGTATGCAGAGCTTGTTGGCTGCCTCATGTACCTGATGACCTGCACACGATCTGACCTCGCATACCCTCTGAGCATCCTTGCACGCTATGTTGCTCCTGGGAGACACCGACCAGAGCACATGGCTGCAGCGAAGAGGGTATTGCGCTACCTGTGCAGTACGTCGGGCATGGGGCTAGTGCTTGGAGGGCGCAGTCCAGTGGTCCTTACAGGCCACGCGGACGCTTCTTGGGCTGACGACCAGGCTACGCAGCGGTCGTCACAGGGTTACACCTTCAGCCTTGGTTCCGGCTCTGTCTCGTGGCGGTCTACTCGCTCGTCTTCGGTTCTCGGCTCCAGTTGTGAGGCTGAGATCTACGCCGGGGCCATGGCTGCACAGGAGCTTCGCTGGCTCACCTACCTGCTGACTGACCTTGGAGAGCCGCCTCGTTCTCCTCCAGTGCTGTACGTAGACAACAAGGCCATGCTGGCCTTGTGTCGAGAGCAGCGCTTGGAGCACAGAACGAAGCACATTGCTCTCCGCTACTTCCTTGCTCGTGAGCTGCAGCAGCGTGGTCAGTTGCGACTTGCGTACGTGGCCTCTGAGGCCAACACTGCTGATGTGTTCACCAAGGCACTTGCGCCTTGTGACCATCAGCGCTTTTGTACCCAGCTGGGTCTTGTGCCTGTCTTGCCTCACTTGCTCTCTTCTTGACTTTACTTGTACTGTGACATATATACACCTGCTCTTGCTTGTTTTGCTTTATATATATGTCTGTACTCTTGCATGTGAACTGGCCTTTGGCCTTGCTCTTGTGCTCGGACTGTGTGGTGACTTTGTGATCCACCCTGAGCTTTGTTTTGCTTTGCTTGACTGGTCTTGTGACCCCTAGTTCTCCCCCACTTTGCCTATGGGGGTGTGTCAGAACATATATACAGTTCATACTGTTGTGTAGGCTGTAGTGGGGTATCCTATAGGGGGTACAACCCAGTTAGGGTTTGCTACTTGTACTGATTTCATTTTCATAGTCATCATTCCTGTTTTCTTATTTCACATGTACTTGTCAGGTTACTTTTGGGTCAAAAAACTCACTGACCCAGAATCGACCGTGTTGAAACCACTAACCCTAATTTGATCCCAAAGAAACTCTGGGGGCATTTACAGGACAGGCTTGGGTCAGGCCGGAAGGTGGGTCACGCTAGGGTCAGAAACATTTTGGTGATGCCGCGCGTCGTCGTCGCTTCCCCCCTGCTCATTCTCGCTTCCCCGCCCGTCGCAATCGCTTCCCCTCCCATTGCCCTCGCTTCTCCGCCCGTCGCCTTCTCTACCCCTCCCTTTGCCCGTCTTTATCCCCTCCGTTCCCCCACCCTACGCTCACTCTCACCCACGACCTCGCACACAGAAATAGCTCCTTCCATCATCCCCCTTCCTCTCTTCCTCTGTTTCATCGTACCGACCTCCCTCCCAGCCTACGCAACTCCCTCGCACCCCTCCATTCCTCGCCCGTTCTTCCCTCCTCCGCCTCCGATCCTCCCACTCTCTTTACTTTCGCCCGACCGTCCTTCTTCTCATCCACCCTGTTTGCTATCATCCACCCTGCTCGCTCTCTTCCCCCCTGCTCGCTCTCTTTCCTCCCTTCACTCTCTTCTCTCCTGTTCACTCCCTTTCCCCCTATTCTCACCCCTCTTTCCCCCTCCACTCAACCCTTTCCCCCTGCACACTCCCTTCCCCCCTACTCACTGCTCACTCTCCTCCCCCTTTTTATTCTCTTCTCTCCTGTTCACTCCCTTTCTCCCTGTTCTCACCCATCTTCCCCCCTTCACTTAACCTTTCCCCCCTGCTTATTCTATTTCCTTTTGCTCATTCTCTTTCCCCTCTGCTCAATCTTTCCCCCTCTGTTCATTGTCTCCCCCTCTGCTCACTCTTTCCCCCTCTTCTCACTATTTCCCCCTCTGCTGACTCTTTCCCCCTCTGCTCACTCTTTCCTTCTCTGCTCACTCTCTCCCCTCTTCTCACTGTCTCCCCCTTTGCTCACTCTTTCCCACTCTGCTCACTCTTTCCCCCTCTACTCACTCTTTCCCCCTCTGCTCACTGTCTCCCCCTCTGCTCATTCCTTCCCCCTCTGCTCACTCTCTCCCCTCTGCTCATTCTTTCCCCCTCTGGTCACTCTCCCCCTCTGCTCATTCTTTCCCCCTCTGCTCATTCTCCCCCTCAGCTCATTCTTTCCCCCTCTGCTCACTCTCTCCCCACTACTCATTGTTTCCCCCTCTACTCACTCTCTGCCCTCTGCTCATTCTTTCCCCCTCTGCTCACTCTCTCCCCTCTGCTCATTCTTTCCCCCTCTGCTCACTCTCTCCGCTCTGCTCATTCTTTCCCCCTGGACTCACCCATACTTCCCCCCAGTTAATTGTCTATACCCCATCGCTCAACAAGATTCCCCCCCCAGTCCCTCTCATTTCCCTTGTTTACACCCCTCATTATTCCCTGCTTATTGGATTTCCCCTTTGCCCACCCCCTTCTCCCCCCTGCTCACCCTCTTTCCCTTTTTGCTCACCCCTCTGCCGTGTCCACTCCTCCCATACAGCTCCGCATCCTTCTTTCCCTGCCACGCCTGTACACTCCACCATGCGGAGGAAGGGTTCACGAGAGGAAGTGAGGGAGGAAATGAGCAAGGGCGATAGGGAGGAAGGGCGGAAGAGAGGACGAGATGAAGGGAGGGAGGAAAGTGGGGAGAGAAGGGTAAAGGCACTGAGGTAGAGAGTAGGAGAGAGGGTGGAAGAGAGGATGAAAGGAAAGGAGTAGGAGAGGTCGATGATGGATGAAAGGGAGGGGGGAAGGAAGAAAGTGAGGATGGGAGAATTAGAGGAAGGGAGGATGAGAGGAAGGAAGGATAAGATGGAAGAAGGGAGGAAAGGAGTGGGAGAGGAGGACGATTGTGGGGAAAGGAAGGAAAGTAGGAATGGAGGAGGCAGGAGGTAAAAGTGTGGCAGGGTATAAGGGTGGAATGGGGATAGTAGGATCATTGCACTCGACAGCACAGTCACCCTGCCTCCCCTGCCCCGCCTCCCCTGCCCCGCCTCCCCTGCCCCGCCCCCCCTGTCCCGCCTCCCCTGCCCCGCCCCTCCGCCCCCTGCAGCGCCGCGCTCCTTGCTGCCCGCCTGTACGCCCTGCCCTAGCTGTGCGCCTAAGCACTCTGCTCCAATGCCACAGCAGCACCTGCCATGTGTGCGGGGTTAATCTTGGGGAGCCCAATCGGACCGCAGCCAGGATGCGCGGCGATGGTTCAGGAGCGCTTGTCAGCAGCAGCAGAGCCCCTACCGCTCCTGTCTCAAATGGACTTGCAGCTGTGCCTGCTCCTCCTCACATGGTGCGTGAGCCGCCGTGCCTCCTACCTCGTTCGAACGACGCCGTTGGACGTGCTGCCGGCTGAAACTTGGTCGGAGTGGGGGGAACAGCTGCTGCACTCTTACGTGTCAGCTGCACACACGACGATTCCAAGGGAAGAGGAGGAGCGGGGGAGAGTCTGGCGGCAAGCAGCCCTGCCCGTGACACTGGGCGGCCTTGGCATCACCAACCCAGCAACAGAAGGGGAGTTCGCGTACCTGGCCTCGGTCATCTCCTCTGCTCATCTGTTGCATTCATTCGGCGACACAGTGCACCCTGCCATCGCCCGTATGCTGCCACTGATGGATGCAGACGCGGACTCACCTTCGGCCCTGCCTAGGAGCCTAGCAGCGGCAGAGGCCGCGCTGCCCCTGGACGGACTTGAAGTGCTTCAGGTCGGCCGGCGTACCCCTAATGGTCGGAAGCTCCAGCACGCCCTGTCGCTGGCAGTCCATACCGCCCGTTACATTGAGCTGCTCGATGCCTCTCGAGAAATGCCCTTGAACCCGCTCTTCGGCCACACTCAACGCCTGCAGTCTCTTCTCGGCCTGGGGGCAGGAGATTGGCTGCTGGCTATCCCCCTGATCCCAGCTCTTCGCCTAGGCCCCTCGCAGCACTCCACTGCAGCCTCCTTCCGCCTAGGTCTCCTTCTTCCTGTCCCACAGCACTGCGACTGCCACTACCGCACGACCTTGCCTGACCACCGCCTTCCCAACCACCTCATGCGCTGCAAGGAAGGCGGGGGGAGGATTGCCACTCACCATGCCCTTCGAGATGAGTGTGCGAAGATCGCAGCTGAGGCAGGATACACGGTGCACAAGGAATCTACAATGTACTCACCAGTCGAAAACCCCAAAGCGGATGTCTGCATCCGCCATCCCAATACCGCCGAGGTTCACATGTGCGACATCACTGTGACGGACCTGGTCTCTCACCAGGATGAGCTTGCGCGGAAGGCGCCTGGGTGGGCTACAAGGATGCAAGTCGCTAGGAAAGAGGACAAGTATGCACGGCGGAACGCGTGGGTAGGCTTCCACTCCATGGCGGTTGAGACGTACGGCTACCCGTCCCCGGGAGTGCATGCCTTCCTCCGCAGCTGCGCCGAGCTCGCAGACAAGCGGCGGTTCAACGCAGCGCCAAAGTCAAGGGAGGTGGCCAGGCTCCTCACAGAGTACAGGCAGCGCTGGAGCGTGACACTCCAGCGCGCCCAGGCCAACGCCCTTCGTGACAAGACCCACGAAGCCATTGCCGCGGATGAGCTTGGCCTGCAAGGCCCGTTCGGCAGCTTGGCCAAAAACACCCGCCAGCTGTGCACGTGACGACGACTGGCGTCTCCTTCACGGAGGTGCCAAGTCAGATCCTGGACAGTCAGGTCCAGCTGCGTTACCGCAACGCCTCCCGGCGCGGGCGCTCCCAGCACGGGTAGCAGGAGGAAGGCGAACCGCGCTGCCACTGCCAAGCAATCAGCTCGCGCCATCGGATCGAGAGTGCTCCCTGGGTTCTGGAGGATGGCAAAGTGCGAATTCACCAGAATTAGTGTCAGGGCCTGCTGGCACTCCACCAAGCGCCACAGCTGCGCGAGAGTCGCCGTGGGAACTTCAGCCGTCCCAGTCAGCCTCGCCGCAGTGGGAACGGGAAGAGCTGGCGGAGGGGGCGCAGTCGGACCTTCAACGCGACGTAGAGGGCGGAAGGGCCCCCTCGCCTCTCCGCCTCCCGCTCCCACAAATCTCGTGTCCGGAACGGGGGGAATCCATGGAAGAGGGGGATACGGAGCGGCGGCGACCGGACGAGATGCGGGTGGTGGTGCACGGCCAACAGCTGGGCCTAGACCCTGCGGGTACGCCTGAGCACTCGGCGCAGGAACCGTGTGTGGAGCAGGAGGAGCCTGGGCAGCCACAAGATTCGACGCACTCTTCAGTGCCTCGCGCATCGCCGCGGCCAACATCCCAGGAAAGTCGTCGCGTAATTGCTGCATCTCGCTCGGCGCCTCACGTCCGCGACCGTGACCTCCCCACCAGCCACCGCGGCCACCGCGATGCACATTCCGGTACGATGGGGAGGGGCGACGGCGAGGAGAACCGCGCCCCCGATGCGCCGCCGCACTGGAGGACGCACGGATGTGTCAAAACGCGGGAATAGGTAGTCGCGAAAGTCCCCTGCTGGCCGCGGCCAGCGCGCGGACACGAGGGGGTCGAGGCGGAGGTTGCGGACGTGGCAGGGGCACTCGGGAAGGAGGTCCGGAGAATGCGTTCCAGGCAGCAGCAAGAAGGGCTTTAAACGATTTAGTTAGAACTAATGAAGAAGGCGAATTATCGGGTAGCATTTATGCGGCGAAGGAGGAAGAAGCAGACTCACCTTCAAATTCGAATGCCTCGGAGGAGGCCCAGTCACAAACTCCTGCTCGGGGGAGAATCGGCCCAACCCATGCCCGAGGCACGTCTACAAATTTCACAAACACACCCACCCAGCCGCGACCCTCACCACAAATTCAAACCGCTTCCCGCCGCCCTGCCACCACTGCCAACCATCCCGCCCAACCAAACCTGACATCGCCACCTGCAAATGTACCGTGAACAGCAGCAAGGGGTAACCAACAGCAACTACAACCCCCTCCCCAAAAGTCGCCCGAAGCCCTCGCCAGGGACGACACACTATTCGCGAATGTCGGGACCTGGAATCTGGATAAGCTGCGTGATAGCCGCAACGCTCTGCTGGCACGTCGCCTGCCGGAAAAACTGCGCCTACTTTTCGCTATGGTAATGCTGACACCACTGCTACGACTAGCACACGACCCAGACTCCATCCCTGCCAGGACGGTTCTGCTGTTTGCGGCTCGCCTGACGCTGCGTCAGCATTCGCCAAGGCACCGTGACTGGAAGGTGACCAAGGAAAGATTGCGTAAATTCCTGCGAGGGGAATGGAAGGCACTGTACCAGGAGACGGTTGATTCGTTGGATTCCCCTCCCCCTCCTAGACACCAGCCAGGTGACCTGAAGATAATATCCAGGGCAGAGGGTTTGGCGCGACGTGGCAGCTTACGGAGAGCAGTCATGGCACTGGAAGCCACCCCAGTCAGCAAGCCCTCACCTGCGGTTTTAGAATCCCTCCGCGCCAAGCACCCTAGTGCCCTGCACTCTGACGCATCCTGGCCCCAGCCCGACCCAGACACTTACCTGGCAGTATCACGGGAAATTTTCCTGAAGCTCCTCTCGAAATGTGAAAATGGGGTAGGTGCAGGTCCCTCAGGGACAACATTCGAGCACCTCCGCGAAGCTGCCCTGATACACCCCACGGTCGGTTCTCACCTACATGCATTGGTAAACACAATCCTGAGAGGGAAGCTGCACTAGGAAGTAGGGAAGCTTCTTCCAGCCTCGCGCTTGATAGCCCTCGACAAGCCGGATGGAGGAACGAGACCGATTGCCATAGGGGAGTGCATCCTGCGTTTAGCAGCCAAGGCAGCACTTACTCAGGTAGCGGACGCAGCACGAGAGTATTTCTTACCTTTTCAGTTCAGGGTAGCCGTGCCAGAAGGAGCAGAAGCAGTCATACATGTTGTCCGGACCTACACAGCGCCCAACCAGGACGCCCTGGTGTTACAGGCCGACCTGGCCAATGCGTTCAATAGTGTCAGCTGCCACGCCATAGCGACAGCCATGAAAGGATCGCAACTAGAACCGCTGCTGTCGTTGGTGCATTTCTCGTACGACCAACCCTCCACACTGCATCTGGATGCAGCCTTCGCCCACCCACCCCTGCTCAGTGAAACAAGGGTCCACCAGGGAGATCCCCTCGGCCCCCTTCTTTTTGCTGCGGCCATGCAACCAGCTTTGAGAGCAGCAGCGGAGGCTCACCCCGAGGTCACCTGCCTGGCCTACGCGGACGACGTGACCTTCCTGGGAGAACCGTCGTCATGTGCAGCTACTTTTACACACTTCACGGGCCGCCTGGCAGAAATCGGGCTCAGCCACAATCCTACCAAGTGCGGGGCTTGGGCAGGCAGGACGCCCACGGACTACTGCC